TCTTTTATATGTGAACTGTTTTTTCTTCCCCCTGTCTCAGGTTTCTGTTTATAAGCATTGTACTGAACTCACATCGTGATATGTTGTGAAATGAGTTTTGTGTTGGGCATTATTAGTGGAGCCCTTTCAATCTAGTAACTCATGTCCCTCACTTGGTGAAATTTTCTTGATTTATTCCCCTTTTAATTCCTTCCCTCTATTTTCTCTTTTCTGTCTTGCAAGAGTTCCTGTTAATAAACGGTTGGGCCTTCTAGACTTCTTTAATTTTTTTATCTTTTCTGCCCTCAATTTTTGTCTCTTTGACTTTTTAATTCTACTTTCTGGGCAGTTTTTCTCAGCTTAATGTTCACTATCACATATTTAAAATCAAGAGCTTTTTGGGGTTTTCTGATTGTTCTTTTTAAAATTTACTACCGCTTCTTTTTGTTCTTATTCTTTGTTTGCAGTAACATATTCTGAGGAAGTTCACTGTGATTTGCTGCGTTTTTTTTTTGTTTGTTTTTAAGCTTTCTGCTTTATATTTCCTCTTTTTGTTTTAGTGTCTGCTTTTAAGGTTTTTTTGTATATGTAAAGCACTTAGAACGATGCCTAACACTCAGTATGTGCTCAGTAAATGTTAGGTATTATGATGATGATAATCCTCATTTTATTTTGCCTTTATTTTGTAATTATTGTTTATGGATGTTATTTCTTCGTTTCTGTGAGAATTCTAAACATACTAATTTTAATGTTACATTTCAAACTCCTCTCACAGATAGGGGAGACCTTTCTCAGCCCAGATTTTAAGCAGTGGGCCCTTAGTTCGGTCCCTTGTTTACCGTTGGACACTTTTAGCCTCTATTTTACCACAGTAGTTAAGCGAGTTGAGTAGTTGAGGAAACATTCTTCCTGTTTCTGAACTCAGAGCTTGACAGGTTGGCAACCTTAGCCCTGTTTACTGTGATAGAGTTTGTTCTGTCTCTGGAGAAGTTAATCTTATTTTTTTTTATCACAATTATGGGGTTTTTTTTACAATACTTTTTAGAAGCTCCCAGTTATCTAGTTTCTCTTGTGGTGTTTTTGCATTGTTACTTGCGGTTTATGTGTTGTAAACTCTGTTACTATGATGAGGTTATACTGATGTGGTCTACAAGATTGGATATTGTCTTAATCCAATCTCCTTTAAGATATAAAAGAGAGAAGTGAGCAGAGACACACGGGAACCTTATACCGCCAAGAAAGCAGTGCCAGGAGCAGAGCGCGTTCTTTGGACCTGAGGTTCGTGTGCTGAGATGCTCCCAGACCAAGGGAAGACCAATGCATCACAAGGACCCTCCTCCAGATCTGACGGAGAGAAGAAGCATTCCCCTGGAGCTGAAGGCCTGAATTTGGACTTATAGCCTACTGAACTGGGAGAGAATAAACTTCTCTTTGTTAAAGCCATCCGCTTATGGTATTTCTGTTAGAGCAGCATTAGACTAAGACATCTCCCTTTCTCCAGTCTGCTCTCTAGAAAGATGTGGTTGTAAATTCACATTTTGAAGAACACCCACAATCCAAACAGACAACAATTACGACTTAAAAAAAATTTTTTTAGAGTATTGTAAAAAGAAACCAAAACAGTTTATGCCGTGTGTTAGGGCTCCTAGCATTGTTTCATCCATGATCATTGTGGGTTTAGATTTTATATTTAGGTCTTTGATCCATTTCGAGTTAGTTTTTGTGCATAGTGTGAGGTATAGGTCTTGTTTCATTTTTTTGCTGATGGATATCCGTTTATGTCAGCACCATTTGTTAAAGAGACTGTCTTTTCCCCATTTAACGGACTTTGGGCCTTTGTCAAATATCAGCTGCTCATAAGTGGATGAATTTACGTCTGGATTCTCAATTCTGTTCCATTGGTCTCTGTATCTGTTGTTATAAAGTACCAGGCTGTTTTGACTACTGAGGCAGTATATTAGATTCTAAAATTAAGTAGTGTGAGGCCTCCCACTTTGTTCTTCACTAATGCTTTACTTATCCAGCGCCTCTTCCCTTTCTATATGAAGTTGGTGATTTGTTTCTCCGTCTCATTAAATATGTTGGTGGAATTTGGATCGGGATTGCATTGTATCTGTAGATCGCTTTTGGGTAGAATTGGCATTTTCACAATGTTGAGTCTTCCAATCCATGAGCAAGGTATGTTTTTCCACTTATGTGGGACTGTTTTGGTTTCTTTTTACAATACTTTAAAAAAAATTTTTTAATTCGTAATTGTTGTCTGTTTGGATTGTGGGTGTTCTTCAAAATGTGAATTTACAACCACATCTTTCTAGAGAGCAGACTCGAGAAAGGGAGATGTCTTAGTCTAATGCTGCTCTAACAGAAATACCATAAGTGGATGGCTTTAACAAAGAGAAGTTTATTCTCTCCCAGTTCAGTAGGCTATAAGTCCAAATTCAGGCCTTCAGCTCCAGGGGAATGCTTCTTCTCTCCGTCAGATCTGGAGGAGGGTCCTTGTGATGCATTGGTCTTCCCTTGGTCTGGGAGCATCTCAGCACACGAACCTCAGGTCCAAAGAACGTGCTCTGCTCCTGGCACTGCTTTCTTGGTGGTATGAGGTTCCCGTGTGTCTCTGCTCACTTCTCTCTTTTATATCTTAAAGGAGATTGGATTAAGACAATATCCAATCTTGTAGACCACATCAGTATAACCTCATCATAGTAACAGAGTTTACAACACATAAGGAAATCACATCAGATGACACAACCATACAATACTGGGAATCATGACCTAGCCAAGTTGTCAGATATTCTGGGGGGACACAATTCAATCCATGACAGGAGGGAATGATGGCAGAGTGACAAACCTTTGTAGTAGTCTAAGCAAGAGATGGGGAGGGCCTGAACTTAAATAGTTCGGGAGAATGGAGAATATAAAAAAGGTTAGAGAAACATTCCTAAAGTTAGCACATGAGAAGAAAGTAGGTTTAAAGGATGACCTGCAGATTTCTGGTTTGAGATACCATGGGCAAGATGGCCTCTGTAACAAATCAAGAAGACATGCAGAAGAGCAATTTAGGGGAACAATATTGAGTTCCTTTCTGGATATGAAAAATTTTAAGTGTCTTCAGCCTATCACTAAAGCTTCTTCACAATCTATCTTCTACCAAAATGCCAGGCTCTTTTCTCTCTGTTTTCTTACACAGACTCAGCATATTCATAAATTCTCAGCAGTCCATTTCTCTTTTGAGATATCACAATTAAACTTACCTAAATTATCTGAAACATCTTCTTTCTGGGCTCTCTGAAGATGTAATAAGTTAATGAGTTTGTATATGTATGTGTTTGATCTTGAGAACAAGTGAAGACCTCTAAATGTTAAAGTTGCTCAAGTAGTGCTTCTCTTGGCTGTTAAGAGCTATCTTTGGTTTTATAGCTGTTCTAGCTAACCTTAACATAATTTCTATCTTAGTTAAACTTTTCCAATCTAGAACAATATGGAAAGCTCAATTCATTACATGAAGCTAATATAAACCAAAGCTTGATAAAGATCTTAACCAAAAAAAAAACAAAACCTGTACCTCAAATTTACTTATGAAATTAGATACAGACCTTTTAAATAAAATAATCATTAATCAAATCCAGCTGTGTTTCAAAATATACTATTATGACAACGTAGACCTAGTCTCTAAGAGAAACGTAAGAGTGGTTCAACATAAATTATTATATCATCAATTAAAGGAGAGAAAACCTTGGATTATACCAAGTCATGCCAAAAACACAATTGATAAATTTCAGTTTGGCAGCCAGTCTTTATTAAAGCTCTGAAATAGAAATAGAAACTACTTAAACATTATAAAAACTATTTATAAAAAACTAACAACGGTCATATTAAATGAAGAACCAACAACTACTACTTACTTTAGAGGATCAAAGTAATATAACAAAATAGTAAAATGAGATGAGCAATATATATCATGGAAAATGATAGAAAACTGAGTGTTTATTTGCAGATGATATAATTGTACCCCTGATGCAAGATATTCTACTAGAAAACTGCTAGAATTAAGATAATTGGTATAATGGCAGAATAACTTTTTCTTTATATCAGCAGTATTTCATTGGGAATGGCAGGGAGGACAGGAATTAACCGATTCATAAGAGCAGTAAGAATTATAAAATACCTAGTAATAATTTTTAAAAGAAACGTACAGAACCTGTATAAAGAAACATGTAAAGTCTTGTGAAAGGACAGAAAAGATCTGAATAAATGAAGACATGTATCTTATCTTGGGTGGCAGTTGTGATTTTAGAGTTTTTGACAGGATGTGGAACCTATAATCTAGTTGGAAGTAGGGGGGTGGGACTTAAAGCTGTGTTTTCAAAGGTCTTTACATAAGAGTGAGAAAATGTTGATTATTCATACCAAAGAATGGATCAGGGTAGGGAACTGATGGACATTTTGTGTGGGGAGGTAGCTAAAGCATCCTCAGGGGCCCTTTTTGGCACCCACTGCTGGATTTGAAACTTAATACCATAAGAATATCAGTCCTTCCCAAATTTATTTTCATATGTGTAAACTTAATGCATATGTATGTAAATTAGTACAATTCTAATCAGAAGTGTTTGGGGAGTGAAAGTGGACCATATTGTGTTAGATTTTATATGGAGAATGACAAGAACCAACTCATGAAGTTGGTTACCTTAGCAGGCACAGGCTAGTTTTTGGCAGGGAGATCATTAACTTTTTAAACTATCTTTGTGCTGTGTCTGTGTTCAAACTACTTGTTTTTGGTAAACGCTGCTTTTCACTGGAGCCGTGGTGGCACAGTGGTTAAAGCATTCGGCTGCTAAACAATGGGTCAGCAGTTCAAAACCACCAGCGGCTACAGGGGAGAAAGATGTGGCTTTTGGGGTTTTGGTTTTCACCAGCTATTCTGAAAACAAACAGAAAAGGAATACTGTTTAATTCTTGCAATACAGTTATATATAATGTAATTTTTTCTTTTTTTGAGGTCTGAATTCTGATTTTGTTAACAGGTTTTACAGCTCTTTAAAACGTTGCACAGGACCAGACAACAAGTTTTTAAAAATGATACCAGAGCATTAGAAGGTAAATTTCTTTTTTTACCCCTTTGGGGCAAGTTCATCCTTCAGCATCTCTGATAAGGGTCTTTTAGCCTGCCTAGTAACTGCTAATCTACGTGAAAGACCCTGTATGGTCAAGATGCATTTGGGGAAGTGCCCTTCACTATCTTTCCCTAAGGTTGTTACCTTTTATAGAGACGAGTTTATATTATACTTCTTTGAGGAGTATCTACTTAAAGAGATATTTTAAAAGATTAACTTTTCATGAACAATCAGCCAAAAAAAAAGCAGAATTTCAGTGTTCTCCATTGTTTGCCTTATGTTCAAGCCATTAAACTCATTTCTTCAATCAAATTTTCATACTACCTAAGACCAGATACCACCATATTGTTGCTGCTTTGTGTCAATCTAGAAATCACAGCATCTATGAAGTAGATTCTAACCCAAATAATTCCAAATTCAATACCTCATTGTTTTAAGTAGAAGTTATAGCTCTAAAGCTGAGATTCTGTGTTGGTCATATTCAGTTCTAATCCTCAGACATTTCTAAACCTCCTTAAGAGTCCCCACTGTCCCTAGGAATTCAAGTTTTTGTAATTCACCAAAAACAATTTCTTGAGTGTTAAAGTATATAGCTGATGTTCTACGCACTTTACATGAATTCCTCATTTAATTTTGGTAACAACCCTGTGAGGTAGTTACTATTTATAATTCCCTTTTTACAGATGAGAAAACTGATAAATGTGCAGGGATTTGCCCCTACTTCATACTTTAGTAAGAGATAGAGTTAGGAATTTAGCCTAAGCAACCTGACTCCAAAGCCCAAACTCTTACCACTTTACATACAGAAATGTGTGAGGCATAGAAAAAGGGTTTTTGGCTATTCTCCATCAACATGGCATATTTTTGTTGCTTTAGATTTTTTTAAGTGAAATAATTTTAAGAATAGCTAACATTTATTACATCTTTGCTAAGAAGTTTATATGGATTGTTCCATTAAATGCTCACCCCAAACCAGTGAGGCAGTATGTCGGTCATATTAGACTAAATTATGCTGTTGTAATGACACCAAAGACTCAGCAGTGTATGTGAACAAAAGTTTTATTTATCACTCAATTTACATGTCAGCCAAGGCACTCAAAATTATCTTTATTATCTTTATTTTAATTTATTTGTGTTGATGTATAGTTTAACAACTTGTATGTATTGAGTTTTACCATCTTAAAAAAGCATTTCAATCTGAATCCATAAATTTGTAGAAACAAAGCATTAAATTGGATTTGTAGAATCCCACAGCTAGAGGTATACAAGCCAAGTTGGGAGTAAAAAGCAGGAAACAAAAATACTAAAGTACTAAAGTTTGATACTAGGTTTAATTACAAATTTGCCAGCCTGTCTGCAGTTCTCCAATACACTTCTTTTTTTTATTCTGCTTTAGGTGAAAGTTTACAGAGCAAATTAGTTTTCCATTCAATAATTTATACACAAAATGTTCTGTGATATTGGTTGCAGTCCCCACAATGTGTCAGCATTCTCTCCATTTCCACCCTGAGTTCCCTGTTTTCCTTTGTCCAGTTTTCCTGCCCCTTCCTGCCATCTCATCTTTGTTTTTGGGCAAATGTTACCCTTTTGGTCTTAGTATAATTGATTGTTCTAAGGAGCACTTTGTGCACAGGTGTTACTGTGTATTTTATAGGCCTGTCTATTATTTGGCTGGAAGGTGATCCCTGGGAGTGGCTTCAAACCCAAGTTAGAAGAGTGACTAAGGGCGATAGTCTCAAGGGTTTCTCCTGTCCCTATCAGACCAGTAAGTCTGGTCTTTTTTATCAAGCTGAATTTTGTTCTATGTTTTTCTCCTGCTTTGTCCAGGACCCTCTATTGTGATCTGATCAGAGTGGTTGGTAGTGGTAGCAGGGCACCATCTGATTCTTCTGGTCTCAAGCTAGTGGAGGCTGTGGTTCGTGTGGGCTATTAGTCCTTTGGACTAATTGTTTCCTTGAGTCTTTGGTTTTTTTTCATCTCCTTTGCTCCAGATGGGAAGAGACCAATAGTTGTATCTTAACTGGCTGCTCATAAGCTTTTTTTTTTTTTTTTTAATTGTCCTTCAGATGAAGGCTTACAGAACAAATAGTTTCTCATGAAACAGTATTACACATACTGTTTTATGACATTGGTTAACAACCCCACAACATGTCAACCCTCTCCCTTCTTGACGCTTTTTTTTTTGGTGAAAATATACATAGCCAAAGATACACCATTTCAAAAATTTCTACATGCACAGTTTAGTGACATCGACTGCACTCTTCCAGTTGTGCTGCTGTTCTCGCTTTAGATGAAGGCTTACAGAACAAAGTAGTTTCTCATTTAACAGTACACATGTTGCCCTATGACAGTGGTTAACAACCTCACAATACATCAACACTATCCTTACTCAACCTTGGGTTCCCTATCACCAGCTTCCTTGTCCCCTTCTGCCTTCTGGCCCTTGTCCCTGGACTGCTGTACCTCATTAGTCCCATTTGGTTTTATGGGGCTGTCCACTCCCAGGCTGAACGGTGAACCTCGGAGATGACTTCACCACTGAGCTAAAAGGGTGTCCAGGGGCCATACTCTTGGGGTTTCTCCAGTCTCCTTTAGGCCAGTAAATCTGGTCTTTTTTTTGTGAGTTAGAATTATGTTCTACATCCTTCTCCAGCTCTGTCCAGAACCCTCTGTTGTGATCCTGGTCAGAGCAGTCCGTGGTGGTAGCCGGGCACCATCTAGCTATACTGGACTCAGTCTGTTGTAGGCCTTGGTAGCTGTGGTCCATTAGTCCTTCGGACTAATCCTTTCCTTGTATCCTGTTCTCTTCATTCTCCCTTGCTCCCGAAGGGATGAGACCAGTGGAGTATCTTAGATGGCTGCTCACAGGCTTTTAAGACCCCAGACGCTACTCACCAAAGTACGATGTAGAACATTGACTTTATAGCTATGTTATGCCGGTTGACCTAGATGTGTCCCAAGACAATGGTCCTCGGCCCTCAAGCCTAATAACTCAGTCCTGCAAAGTGTTTGGTTATGTCTAAGAAGTTTCCCTGACTTTGCTCCCTGTGTGCTCCATTGTATATATGACTATACATGCAGCATAATATGAATATGTATGTAGAAATATCCACAACTTAGTCTATATATGTACGTGAGTGTACTCCCATACACCCTCCCATGCCTGTTCAGCATATATATCTGCCTATGTATCCGAGACTTCTTCAATAAATTTCTTATTTATCTACTTCATTTTGCATGGATAAAACTGTTTCCTATCCTATAGAGAAGTAGTCATTCATAGTGAATAACGTAATATCATGTAAATTATTGGGACCAAAATTATTAATTAGAAAATGAAATAACTGTATATATGTTTCTCTCTCTCTAGCAGCCAGAATAAAGATAAATGAAGAATTCAAAAGTAATAAAAGTGAGACATCTCCTAAGAAAATAGAAGAGGTAAAGTAATTGAGTTTTTCAGATAGAATAAAACTATCATAAATTTTCTTGTCAACTAGAGGAAATGATGAAAATAGAGGGGAAATATGAAATAAAAACCATTACTTGATAGTTAAAGCCATCACAGCTATCAATATCCTTCACTTGTTTGGTATGCTCACCTTCTCAGAGTCATCTGTCTACACCCAAAAGACAGCAGGTTGCCCAGTGAAAAGAACATGGATGTAGGCATGGTCAAAGCAAGAACCACTGAACTATCCCAGAAAGCCACAGAAATTCTATCTTCACCTATGGCAAGGACTGACACTAAGGAGAGTGAGTGTTGTAGTAACTCAGAACTACAGAAGTTCCTTCTATTTTTTTTAGCTCAAATAAGCAATTAGATTTTTTGTTTGTTTGTTTTCCATTTGTATCTTGGCAGTGGCAGTTAACCATCAACGAACACCTTATGAACTATTCTTGCTTTGTTTTCTGTGTTTGCATTTTCAGTCACTTGCTCTAGTTGAATACAGTTTACTGACCTTAGTCTGTGAGCTCCATAATACTCCTAATTCTGTGCATTGAAAAAAATGTACAATGATTCTTTTCCTGTATAAAATCATGCTGCATATACATTGCCTCTGTTTTGAGCTTCCTCCGGTGTTACTATATCTAACTTCCTGTAAAGATAGGAAAGGACCTTAGGAAGAAAATGGAAAGTTATTTGCAGGGGATAGTTATGATTCCAAGAATTGGTTGGATAAGGAGGAAGGTACAAATTAGAGAAATTCTTCCATATTTAATAAAATTTCTACATGTTTAAAAAAAATCTGATAAAAATGCACTTATATTTAGTAAAGAAAAATAGTTTTTTAAAAATAGTAAATATCTGTAGTAATTGAGCTAATGAGACAAAATGAGATTTTCCTTAACTATATGATAGAGCAAACAGGGAATAGATCATTTTTATTCATGGCAAGAATTAAAATTAGTATAATGAAGTATTGACTTGAGGAGAAGTTAAAATATATGAGTAAATTTGTACTATTTGTTACTCAGTGGACTGATTAGTAACAATATGGTTAATTATTTTGAAATTTTAAAATCATGATAAAAATTTTTTTTAATTGAGATCTCTTTATATCAACTAAACTGGGAAAATAAACTACAATTTCCCAAATTCATTCCACTCATAGAGCATTATTAGTTTAACATTAAGCAGTCTAGAAATTAGATAAGTATTTGTTATATACACTACAACTCTGCATATAGTATTTAGTAGTTTTTAGACAATGACATTGTCATGTATAGAAGATTCATGAAGTCTTGGCACCAAAAGGAATTTTAGACATCCTCTAGACCAGCAGTTCTCAAACTTTTTGGCTCAAGACCTCTTTACCTTCTTAAAAATTGAGGACTCCAAAAAGCTATGGGGTCCATGGCTTTGAGAGTCTCCATTCTACTCCAGTTCTTCATTTTACATTTGATGAGGTCTGACACTCAGGGTAGGTAATTAACGCAAGGCCATACACTTAGTGACAGAGCCAGAGTTGTTATCCAAGTGTTCTGACTCCGATACTCTTTCCAGTGTTCAGAACATCCTAGTCTATATGAAATGAAAGATTCAAACCCCTCAAAAATGATGCATCTTTTTTTTTTTAAATTGTGCTTTTCAAATTTTTGGAAAGTTTACAGAGCAAATTAGTTTCTCATTAAACAATACACAAATTGCTTTGTGACATTGCTTGCCAACGCTGTGATGTGTCAACACTCTCCCTTTCTCCGCCCCAGGTTCCCTGTTCCATTCATCCAGTTTTCCTGTCCCTTCCTGCCGTCTCGTCTTTGCTTTTGGGCTGGTGTGCCCATGTAGTCTCATACGTAATTGAACTACAATTCACGTTTTTCGCATGTGCTATAAAATTATGCATCTTAAACACATCGTAAAATACACTTTACAACAAAAAATACCCTATATCTTTTTTAGTACAAAATAAGGAATTGATGGATAAAAGGTAAACCTAAATGCAATATCTGAGTTCTCTATTCTGCTTGGAATGGTTACAAAAAGTCAGAGGCAGTATGGCCTAAAAAGAAATTACAGTAAACCTATAGTTTTCAAACATTGTGCATTCATATGAACCATTGTAAAAACCTGACGGATCTATTCTATTTGTTTGGTTTTCTTAACAGCTAATGAAAATAGGTTCTGATGTTGAATTGTTACTTAGAACATCTGTTATACAAGGTATTCACACAGAGCACAATACATTGAGTAAGTAAAATTAAGAATGGTTTCCGACTGCAATGTCTTTTAAAATATTGAACAGTTACACAGTGCTTTTAATGCTGAGTAGTAAAATAGCTTGAATTTTCCAGGCAATGTTTTACCAGATATTTTTTGGTTTTAATTTTTTAATTTGTTTTTCCTTTTTTATCTTTACCCTTGCAAAACTATAGTTACAAAAATAATATGACTATTTTTATCATATTTATTTTACATTCTTAATTTGTCTGGTATCATTTATCACTTAGCTAGTCTAAGCCTGTTTCTCTCAGGGCTTGAACCAGTTCGTTAACCCCTGCTGAGAATTTGTATTTCCACCCCAGATATATTGAATCACAATCTACAGTTTAGCAAGATTCTCAGGTGATTCTTATGTATAATCAATTTTGAGAACCACTGCTCTACTAATGGAGCCCTGGTGGCGCAGTGGTTAAGACATCGACTGCTAACCAAAAGGTCAGCCGTTTGAATCCACCAGCCACTCCTTGGAAACCCTATGGGACAGTTCTGCTCTGTCCTGTAGGGTCACTATGAGTCAGAATTGACTCAACGGCAATGGATTTGGTGTTTTTTTTTGTTTTTGTTTTTGTTTTTGGCTGTTCTACTAGTGGTTCTCAGAAATGGTCCCTAACCAGCAGCAGCTTAGCATCACCTGGGAGCTTGTTAGAAATGCAAATTCTCAGCTGGAGTTTGAACCCATAATGGTTCAAAGCCCTGGTTTCTCTACCTTTTACTCTACAAGTAACGTTATTTTAATTCAAAAGAATAGGGATTATAGGAAATGGAAATATAGTGGAGGATCCTTCATTGTACATCCAGACTCCTGGTAGGGCTTTGGCAAATCTTAATTCACATTATATTTTGGTTTTATTCTCTAAAGTGTCTTTGGGGACAGCAAAAAAAAGTAACATTCAAAATTTTTGAAAGGCTTTTTTAAAAAAAAAAATATTGAAGTATAATATACAAATAGAAATGAGCACAGTTTATAACTATACAGCTCAATGAATTTTCACAAAGTGAAGTACCCATGTAACCAACGTCTGCATCAAGCTATATAACATTACCAGCATCCCAAAAGCCCACTCATGTCCCTCCTAGTCACCCCTTTCTACAAGGGTAACCTATCCTGACTTTTGGCACCATAGATTAGTTTTGCCTGAGTTTGAACTTTATATAAATGGAATCATACAGGATTACTTTTTTGCCGAGTTTCCTTCCCTCAGCATTTTATTTTGGAGATCCATCTGTATTGTGGTAACATTGCTATGTAGTATTCCACTGTTTGAATATGCCACAGTTAATCCATTCTATTGTTGTTCCTTTGGCTTGTTCCCAATTTGGGATTATAGTGAATAAGGATGTTATGAACATTCTTGTACATGCTTTTATTTTTTCTTGTACATGCCTTTTGCATTTGTCTTGAGTATATACCTAGGAATGAAATTTCTAGGTCAAAGTGTATACATTTATTCAGCTTTAGTAGATAGCACTAACCAGTTTCCCAAAGTAGTTATATTAATTTTCACTTCCAGCAGCAGTACCAAATGTTGCTATACATCCTCACCAATACTTTTAGCCTTTCTGGTGGATGTGTAATGATATTGCCTTGTGATTTTAATTTTTATTTCTCTGGTAACTAATGAAGTTGAGTACCTTTTCACTTGTTTAATGGCCATTTTTATATCTCTTTTATGAAGTGCCTGTTTATGTCTTTTGTCCATTTTTCTAAGGGATTGTCTGCCTTTTTATTATTGATTTGAAGAAATTCTTTCTATATTCTAAATACAAGTCCTTTGTTGCATGTATGTATTACAAGAATCTTCTCCTATTCTTATGGTTTGCCTTTTCACTTTGGTAACGGTGTCTTTTGATGAGGTCATTATTTTAATTTAGTCCATTTCATCAATTTTTTCCTTTCTGATTAGTGCTTTTGAATCCTGTTAAAGAAATGTTTGCCTATCCCAAGCAAAGGTCATGAAGAGATTCTCCTATGCTTTCTTCCAAAAGCTTTATTGTTTGATCTTTTACATTTGGTCCTTTGTATCCACTTTTGAGATAAAGAAGTTAACTTTGCCCAAAAATTTAGTCTTTGTCCTTGGTTCCTGACAAATAACCTCTAAAACCTTGTACTTTCCCTAATCATTGAATTGTGTTTGATGAGGACTCCAGACCACACCTAAGGGTTTATGACTCAAGTTGGGTGACTATGCCAGAAAGACCCATCACATGGCATGATATCAACTGACCTCAGGGGAGAGGGCCTAGAGTTTGAATTAGATAATGAGACCCCAGTAAAAGCTCTGATCACAGAAGCTCCATGGACTTCCAGGTTGGTGAAAGACAATGATGCCTGTGGCAGGATAGCTCATCCTTTTTTAGGACATGGAAGCTTCACGTTGGGAACCCTCCCAGACCTTGCCTTATGCACCTCTTCATTTGTATCCTGTATTTTTACTATAATAAAATTATAATCCTAAGTATAGCATTTTCTGTGCTGTGCATTCTGTGAGTCATTCTAACAAATCATCGAATCCAAGGGCATAGCGGGAGCCAGCCAGTCAGAAGTGAAGGGGCCCTGGGAACCCTTGTACTTATAGCTGGCATCCTGAGGAGGTAGAAGGAACCCCTGAGTTTATAGCCAACAGATCAGAAGTGAGGGGACCCTGGGGATCTCCAAGCTTGCAACTAGTGTCTGAGGTCTTGGGCAGACTTAGCAGTCTGGAGGACTATGCCCTTTTAACTTGTGAGGTCTGACCTAACTCTGAGTGGTTAGGGTCAGAGTACTACATATGCAGCTAGTGTCAGAACAGAAATGGAACAGAGGGGAACAGAATTGATAATAAACTGATTTGGATTGATCAACACATTTGGTATCAGAGAAGTAGATATGATTTTCTCAGCACAACTAGAGTTGATTTTTGTGTATGCTGTGTGTGTTATGGATCAAATTTTGTCCCCCAGAAATATGTGTTGTAAATCTTAACCCTGCAGTTACAGTCCTATTTGGGAATTGGTTTTCTTTGTTATGTTAAGAGCCTATATCAGTGTAGGGTATGTTTTAAGCCAATCACCTTTTAGATATAAAAAGAACAGATTAGGACAAGCAAGCAAGCAGAGATGAGGGAAGGTAGATGCCAAGCCACATGAAGATCACCAAGGAACAAGGACCTTCCCCTAGAGCCAACAGAAAGAGAAAGCCTTCTTCTAGAGCTGGTACCCTGAATTTGGATTTCTAACATCCTAAACTGTGAGAAAATAAACTTATGTTTGTTAAAGCCACCCACCTGTGGTATTTCTGTCTTAGCAGCACTAATTAACTAAGATACTGTGAGACTGGGTCAAGATTTTTTTTTTTATATTATCCAGTTGATAATCCAGTTGATTATCCAGTTGATCCAGCATCATTTACTGAAAAGGCCACTGTTTCCCCACTGAGCTGCAGGGTCACCTTTGTCATGAAATCAAGTAACTATATTTGTGTGAATCTATTTCTGGCCTTTATAATCTCACCAATTAATCTGTTTTTCTGCCCTTGCCATACTGTCTTCATTACTACAACCTTATAATAAATGTTGATATCTGGTAATATAAGGGTAATATAAAGGGCAGTTATTTTTAGGTAATGAGAATTTATCAGGAATGATTTGAATTAGTTTCATATGGGCAGCAAACATAGTTAATCCTAAATTTAAAATTTATAGTCACTAGCTTTAATCTTAAAATGACCTTTAGAGCATCTATTTAATGTAGCTAACATTTTATACAGAAAATTACACCTAAATATTATTTTTATTCTATGAATAAAAATGTAAGTTATGTCAGGTAACTAAATTTGATGTCTGTATTTCAAATGTTAGATATAACAGTGTTGGTTTTCATTTCTCTTTATCTTTTGGTTTTCTGTATAATTTAATTTTCCAACAGGATCAAATATTTTGACTCTTTTTCACGATTAGTAGTATATATTGTTATACCAATCAGCCTTAATAATGGCTGATTCTTTCTATTAAGGTATAAATATCAGTCTCTTTTTCCCTAAAATGTAACATTTTTTAATTTCTGTTTTAAAAATTACTTTATGTGGAATTCTTCCTAATATTTTAACAGTATTTGTACTGGCACATAGAGGAGAGAGGAATTTAAATTCTCCTTCTTGGCTAGAAAATGGAGAGTTGTTATTAAATGCCTTTTCTACTTAATCAGCAAGAGTGAGCTTATGATACTTGTAACTACGAGCAACAAATTTGTTACCAGAAGTGAGGTACTGAAAATTTCACAACCTAAAATGCGAGTTAGCTGAATGAACAGCAGAAGTAGAAGGGGGTATGATTATTGTGGACCTAATCTTTTTTTTTTTTTTAACTTTATTTTTTCCCATACAAAAATTTGTACATACGTTGTTATGTGACTCTAATTGCTCTCCTCATACTGTGACAGCACACTCCTCCTTTCCACCCCTGATTCCCCATGTCCATTCAACCAGCTCCTAACCCTCTCTGCCTTCCCATCTCACCTCCGGACAGAAGCTACCCATTTAGTCTCTTGTATCTACTTGAGCTAAAAGGCATACTCCTCACGAGTATCACTTTATGTCCCACAGTCCAGTCCAGTCCCTGTCTGAAGAGTTAGCCTTGGAAATTGTTTTAGTTCTGGGCTGATAGAGAATCCAGGGGCCATGCTTTCTAGGGTTCCTCCAGTACGGACCTAATCTTTACAGACTTCAAGCTGGCAACCCTTGTTAGGCAGTGGTGAAACGTAAGGTCAGTGCCTCTTACTGTTTCTTGGGACACAGACCAAGTGCCCCCCCCTGAGGCTACAGCAATAAGGGAAATAACCAGAATGTCAGTGTGTGCTGCATATTTCTTGCTGCTTTCAGCAAATTGAAGAAGAGGAAGAATGCAGATAAAACTAGTCCATCTGTAAAGCAAAGATAGAAGGAAGTATTGTGTCACTGAGAGGCACTCATCTATCTACAGCCTGAAGTCTAAATTGACTGAGAGACCAATAATGTAGAATCTTGCTGGCTTGAAAATGCCAATTGCTCCTCTACTCTAAAACTAAGGTCAGTATAAGTAGGAGGCTTCTGAGCTCTAACATGCAATAAGATCAATGCCCCAGACCTCTATCTATCTGCCAGACAAAGATCAGATATAGGGTATATTTACTCTCTGGAGTCTTTTTTTTTCTTCTTTTTTTTTGAGCCTCTTGTTTTTAGTTGTTTTAAGGAAGTGACGTTAAATCTAACGCTAGGAGGAAGGGTAGAACGTAGAGGCCATTACCAAAGGATGAGACTCTTTGTACTTAAAAACCGTCAGAGTATTCATCTGTGGCTACTTGTATGTAGAAATGACTTGTAAGTTTTTGAGGGAAGTGTATTGCCAAAGAAACCTCAGACCTGGCTATTAGTCTTCAACCTTTAAGGCCATCACTAGGCTCCCGAACTCATATCAACAGGAAGTGTACTATGAGAGCTACAGTGCCCCAAAAAAGTCCCAGAGAAGGGCATCTTCCCCAATACCCCCATCTCTGGACAAGGAAGATCCCCCAGAGGACAGAACCAGGGGCCTTGAAGGACATTGAACAAGAGAGGGTCATTAGGTCTCCCAGAAAATAGAATTAGGAGCTTCCAGACTGGCTAACTAGGGAGTCCTTGCTGTTCCTATTCAGCAAGATTTAGTATTTGCTGTAGACCAGTGACTGTCGTGTGTTCCCCATTCCAGTTTTCTAATGGATGGTTTTATTTATCTGTAATCTGTAATCAGATGGTCAATAATGTGTTTTACCTGAATTCTGTTCACGTAATTAATTATATTTAAGACATAATACCACAAAATGGGTGACTTTAAAGAACAGAAATTTATTTTCTCACAGTTTTGGAGGCTAGAAGTCTGAATTCAAGACATCAACAGGGCTATGCTTGTCTCTCTCCTCTCTCTCCCCCTCCGTCCCTTCCTCCCTCTCTCCCTCTCTCTCTCTCCCCTTCCCTCCCTCTCTCTCTCCTTCCCTCTCTCTCTCCCTCTCCCTCCCTGTCTCTCTCCCTCCCTCCCTTCCTCCCTCTCCCTCCCTCCAGCCTTGTGTCTTTCAGCTTCTGTAGCCCCAGGTGTTTCTTGGCGTTCCTTGGCTTATAGATGGATCCTCACATGCTGTCTTCCCCTGTGTGTGTGACACTGTTTCCATATCTGTTCTCCCCTTTTGTAAGATACCATTTAGAAGAGATTAAGGTTAGGAACTACCCTGACTGATAAGATTTGCAAAGAATACCCTGTATCCCCAAACAAGGTCACATTCATAGGTCCAGGTGTTAGGACTTAAAACATGTCTTTTGGAAGGATGCAATTCAATCCATAACATTTATTATTATAAATTTTAGGGGGAATTGAGTATGCTTGCATTTAATTTTAATAATGTTAAACATTCTCTCTTTATGTTTCTCTTTCAGAATTGGTTCCTAGGAAAGACCTTCTTATAGAAAATGTGCCATATTGTGATGCGCCAACTCAAAAGCAATGAATTTCCTAGGATAAAATCGAGTGTTTCTACTTTTTAATTTTAAAATATATAACTTTGGAAAAGGTCCTGGAAATGTAGATTTTTTTTTTCTGAACTGGCATATTGAAAATGAGTGAATTAAACTATAGCTTCATAAATAAATTTCAGGTTAAAAAGGACACAGGTGACAATAGCAGAATACAGTTAAATATTTCTAATGGACATTAGATGAGAAGACATTACATTTTCATTTAAAATCAAACTTTATAAAATGAAGTAAATACTTAAGTATATCATATTCACACCTCTTTGACCTTGATGAATATTTTGGTCTTACCATAACTATTTGAGAATGCAGTGTTTTGACAAGTTGGTGGGTTTTCCTCTCGTGTATAAAGGGAGTTATTACATTAAGTTGATATTTAGTCCCAGAAACATTGAATTGGTCAAAGAAATCACAGTGTGTGCCAACTCTTCACAGAAAGTGGTCTTTGTTTCCTAAAGCACTAGAATTATTTCTGAAGCCAACAAATACTTGTACAATTTCTTTTTAGAGACAGAGAGTATCTCTGTCTTTTTATAAAGACATTTTTTATCGGTCTTCTGCTGATAGATGAATAAAAGTATCAAAATCACCTAGAATCCCTATGGAATAAAGAAATTCTAATTTTTTAGGAAATAGTGACCCTTGATCAAGCTATAATATGACCTTGGGAATTAGCTGTATCTAAACCACAGCTAGACTTTGTTGTGAACGTGTAGTATATGGCTGCGTTCTCTTCATTTTGATCAAGAGAACTTAAATGACCTTTCATCTTCCACCTGTCCCATCCCCGATGAGATCAGCAGGATCCCAGAAGAGCTTTGCATTCTGTCATCTAATGCTAGGAATTATAAAATCATGTTTAATCTTTTTGTTTCTCTTTTATCTGTGCACACTGTTTTGCCAGTGAACTGCGTGTCCTTTCCCATTCACTGATGAATTCTCCCACTCGATGATGACACAAAGCTTTTAGTTTTTGCAAGATCCCCAATACAAGCTTTGCTTATTGGCAGAACATATTGGTATATCCATATGGGATACTGAATATCATATTTGAAGATAATTTAATTTTAGAAGATCTAAAAATTATTTAAAGTATTAAGAAATAGCATACTTAACTGTAAAGGAGCCCTGGTGGCTCAGTGGCTCAGCTGCTACCCGAAAGGTTGATGGTTGAAACCCACCAGCCTCTCCATAGGACAAAGATGTGGCAGTCTGCTTCTGTAAAGACTTAGAGCCTTGGAAACCCTACGTGGCAGTTCTACTCCATCCTGTAGGGTCACTGTGAGTCAGAATTGACTTGACGGCAACAGGTTTGGTTTTTGGGTTTCTACTTAACTATAAACCAGAAGCTACCCTTAATGCTTCTTAATACTTTTAAGATCAATTAATATTCTAAGAAATTGATTATATATGTCAAAGAGTCACTACATAATTTTTCATCTCCTATATACATTTCTCATTATGTATGTGGAAACTATATCTAGATAAAAATTAAAGTTGTTTGAAATTGGCCCTTCTAAAAGAATGCTGAAAATTGTCACAACCCAATCACTGTATAAATTCCCTGATTTACTTCTATTTTAGTAAGTGTTTATATTATATATTTTGAGGAAAATTGGCAGACATAGTTAAATTTTATTATATATTTCATATTGTTTCTGTATCATTGAGCATTTTTTAAAAGTTTGCAGATTTTTTTTTTCTTTAACCTCAGTTCCCTGGTTGCATTCTTCATTCACATTAATGTAAATATTTTATTAGATTTCTTTTTTTACAAACTAGTTATCATTAAGAGCAGTTGTTGTTAATTGCCTTTGAGTCTTCTCTGACTCATGGCAACCTTTTGTATAAGAGAGGAAACGTTGCCTGGTCCTGTACCATTTTCATAATTATTAGTATATTTGAGTCTATTGTTATGGCTATTGTGTCAATCATTTCATTGAGGGTTTCCCTCATTTTCACGACCCTTTGCTTTACTAAGCATGATGTCCTTTTCTCGGGATTGGTCTTTCCTGATGTCATGTCCAAAATAAGCAAGATGAAGTCTTGCCATCCTCACCTCTAAGGAGCATTCTCATCATATTTCTTCTAAGACTGATTTGTTCATTCTTTTGGCAGCCCATGATACATTCAGTATTCTTTGCTAACACTACAAAATCAAATGCACCGATTCTTTTATTTTCCTTTCTCCTTGTTCAGCTTTCGCATGCATAAGAGGTGATTGAAGAGACCATGGCTTCAGTCAGGCACACTTTAAAATGACATCTTCGCATTTTAAAATTTTAAAGAAGTCTACTTAACTGGACCCGTGTAGACTAGAAGAAGCGCCGACACTATCACCCTGAGATACCTTTAAATTTCGAACCGAAACTATTCCCGGAGGCCACCTTTCAACTAAATAACAGGTTGGTTCATAAAATAAAAAAATATCACCCATGAGTACTGTGCTCCTTTAAAAAAAAAAATCATCTGTATGAGCCCAAACGGTTAACACTTTCCCTAAAGCAAAGATGAGAAGGTCCGGGGGGACAGGGAAACTGGATTAATGGAAGCAGAACAACTGGAACAGAAATGATGAGAATATTGACCCAAGGTGGAAAATGTAACCAATGTCACTGAACAATATTTATAGAAATTGTTACATGGGAACCTAATTTGCTGTAAACTTTCACCAAAAACTCAATAAAATATTAAATAAATAAAATTGAATTCTGGGAAAAAAAATTCAAGAAGATCTTTTGTAGCAGATTTCCCCAATGCAATATGTCATTTCATTTCTTGACTACTGCCTCCGTAGACACTGATTGTTGATCCAAGTAGAATGAAATCCTTGACAACTCCATTTATCATGATGTTGCTTATTGGTCCAGTTGTGATGATTTTTGGTTTCTTTATATTGAGGTGTAATCCATACTGAAGGCTATAATCTTTGATTTTCCTCGGTAAGTACGTCATTTCATCTTCATTTTTGGCAAGCAAGGTTGTGTAATCTGCATATCATAGGTTGTTAATGAATCTTACTCTAATCCTTATGCTGCATTCTTCTGCATATAGTCCAGCTTCTTGGGTTATTTCTTACAAACAGTAAAAATTAATAATTCATGTGTTCATTTTATTAAAGCTAGTGGCTTAATGAGTCGGAATCGATTCAACGGCAATGAGTAAGGGTAAGTGGCTTAAAAGTTGTTTTTTTTTTTATTGTACTTCACGTGAAGGCTTACAGAACAAATAGTTTCTCATGAAACAGTAGTACACATATTGTTTTATGACATTGGTTAACAACCCCACAACATGTCAACCCTCTAACTT